ATCAGGGATAACGCGGGCCTGGAGGGCGAGGGGAGGGGCATGGGAAGAGAAGGTCAGGGCACAGAGGAGAGAGAAGGGGTCAGGAGAGGGTGGAAAGGAGTCACAATGAGGGGGTTCGTGGGAGGGGCCCGGTGTAGCAGCCACTTGAATGACCCTATTGGGCGAGACGCCTTGGCTGGGGACGGCCGCATCAGAATCACTAGGGATGCTTGTTTGAAATGCCTCTTCCTGGGCCCCATCCTTTGGCCCCTAAGACTCCGCGACTCCTGGCACGTTGTAAAGCCCCTTACCCCCGCGATTCTGAAGTCCACCAAAGTTTGAGAAGCCTTGATTTTTTTGCAGCAGCGGAGGGCTGTCTGTTTATGGCCTGGCCCCTTCCTGGGATGAGGGCCATGTCTTCATCCCTGTGTGTGAGGCTCCCCTGCTACTAGCTGCACACTGGAGACGTTCTGGAAATGTGTCTCTGGGCTGCTGCCGAGTGTGGAGTGGGGGAGGGCTGTCGGGAGAAGGGTTCGGGGATCTGATGGGGAGGTGTGGGTGAGGTCAGCAGGAGACCACTGAAGACCGACCCAGGTTGTTTGGGGCGGACCCTAGACTTTAGGGCCACAGAGGGCCCTGGGGCACATGTGAAAAGCAGGTTTGGCCTGGGAATATGAAGTTCAGGAAGCAGCAGGAATGCCTCCTATTGTGGGGTTGTAGGTGCACTTTCAGTTGGAGACCTTTGAATTGCCAGGAACTGTTAGTGTGGGTTCAGGGATTTAGGAAAGGACAGGCCTTCTGAGTTGCCTATCCTGGGGGATTAATTTTCTCTTTAAAACTGCCATTGATCTTCCTTTCCTGGGTGTGTGCTGAGCCTCCCGTCCCTATGCTGTCTCTGTGGGGTTATAAATAGCTTTGGCTGTCAGGTTAGGCCAGGCTCTCACCTCCTGCTTCAGGATTTCAGTCCACAAACCCCTATTGTTTGTTTCTAAGGAGATGCTTTGTTGCAGCCGAGGCAGGCTGCAAGGACAGGTGTATACATACGGCAGGTGCTTGGTTAAGATAATAACCATCCGTAATAATAATCCTAGCTTACGTAGGCAGCAGGCTCACAAGCCCTTTGACGTAACCTTCATTCATTCAGTCCTCAACAAATGGGCCAGGCATTACACCCACTTTCCAGATGAAGAAGGCTGAAGCTCAGAGAGGTGGGGGTGCTTCCCCAAGGTGGCAGTGAGGTCTGTGATTCTGAGTCCCATAGTCCTTCTGTATCACACACCCGGGGTTAGTCCCATGACCGGAATGATTGCCCTAGGCCTCCACTGGCCCTTACAACTTAAAACTTGGTCTTACAGGAACTCTGACTTAACATAGCATTCATTGCTGAGGCTGGGAAAACTGGGAGTTATGCTGCTTGCCCTTCACCATGGTTGCCTTTCTCTCTCCCCCCTTCTCTCCCTCCTTTGAGCCCAAGTGCCACCACCCATCAGAGGTCATAATCATTTCTGAACAGAAGGTGGATTCTAGGGAGGAGAGCAGGAAGGTCACCTGACCAGCCCAGCTTGGTGTTTTTACTTCTCAAGTCATTTTGAACCTAAGCCTGGAACAGAAAGGAGTTGCAGGAATTCAAGTGAATTCACATTAGATGCCATGACCAAGTTCTGTTTGTGGAAACCTCCAGCTTCTTAACTCACTGGGTGTGTCCGTTTTTATTGGCCCGGCAGGTTGCTTTTTTGGCTTCTGTGGTCTGGGGATCCATCCATGGCTGGCTTGTTTCCAGTGTATTCATATGTGATTTCTCCTTTTCACTTTGGAATCCAGAGTTCGAAGTTGTCTCGCTCTAATTTTGAAAACCCATTATGAACTTGTCAGGATTTTATCTCCCACTTCCCTGATTCACCTCCCTGTCACTTTGATTTCCTTCCAGCCTTGTCACATTTCTTTCTTGCTGGTTTTTCTTCATTGCTCTGTCTTAAATATTCCCAGACATAACTCTTTGTGATAATGAGGTGGGATCTGCTCCCCACTAATTGATTCGTTTTAACTTTGGGTGGGAGCAGTCCTTTTCCTTCATCCCCACCTCTCTGCTTCCTCCCAGAAAACCTGCCTTCAGTCTTTCCTGCTGATTCAGAGGTAGAGTCTCTTGAAATGGTTGCTTGGGAAAAGGTCCTGAAAAGACAGCTCCAGGCCCTCTCTGCTGATAAACCGGAGGGAGTCTGTTACAAATCCTGCAGGCACGCCTTCCATGTACAGGTAGTCCTCGACTCACGACAGGGTTCTGTTCTGACGGAAATGGAGTGCTGCTTTTTCTTTTTAGTTTTCATTGCCATTGCCTTTTATTATCAGTATCTTTATAAATCTGGTGTTTATTCGGCTTTGAACATCTGCACGTGAACCTCTACAAATGATGATAACCTCAGCAGATTCTGCCCTGCAGGGGTGTATGTAGCACATATTACTAACAGTACCCACTGCCAGCGAGTCGGTTACGACCCAAAGCGACCCCTATTGGGTTTCTAAAGCAGTAAATCTTTACGGAAGTAGATTGCCCTATTTTCCTTCCACAGAGCGGTTGGTGGGTTTGAACCACCAACCTTCTGGTTAGCAGTCAAATGCCTTAGGCACTGCACCACCAGAGCTCCTTATGGAAAATTATACCAAGAAACAAACTCACTGCCATCAAGTTGATTCTGACTCATAACAACCTCCTTTGGCTTTCTGAGGCAGTAAATCTTTACAGAAGTAGATTGTCCAGTCTTTCTTCTGTGGAGTGTCTGGTGGGTTTGAACCGCCAACCTTTTGGTTAGCAGTCAGATGCCTTAGACACTACGCCACCAGAGTTCTTTACTGACAATAAGATGTATCAAAAAATCGTCTGGGTTGGGTTTTTTTTT